TTGGTATTTACCATTAATTCTATCTGAATGTTTAATATGGAATCATTGGTATGAATACTTTCTGTAATTATTAAAAAATGGAAATATTTATATTGAAGATAAATTCTGCTTTTAGAACCCTCAAAAGAAAGAATTAAGTGGGTGTATCAGACCCTTAATTTATGTCTCTTTATTTACTCCTATAATAATATAATGTAAGGTAGACCTGACTATTTTCATAAATAAGGAAACTGAGGTCTACATAAACTAAATAACTTGCCAATGATCAAGCAGCCAGTAATTGGCTCAGCTTCGATTCTCCCTAGGTCTGACCTGCAGGGCCCGCCTGGCCATTGTACCACCCTTGCAGTGGCCAGATCTGCGAAGCCAAGCCTAGCCATTGTTACTTTAGTGGGATTCATGATTCTTGACATCCTACATTCTACCACAGCAAATTCAATTTAAAATATTACTTAATTCAGAATCTATTTTCAGCCTTCTACTTTCTATAATACTAAAACTCTACCCACTGAATTTTTGTGCTACTGTTTTTTTCAATCCAGTTTATAGCATTTTAAAAGTTGATAGTTTGGCTTATCCCTGGCTCATGCCTATTTTTCATAATAAGAATAAAGCTCACAATCAGATTGTTGTTAATGGGCAATTTATTTTTAATTTAGTTGAACATTTACCATTCACATTGCGTTCTATTTTAAAAAATTTATGCCTGCTAGTTATTTTTGGACAGGACTTTTTTTTTGTAATTAAGTTTTAAATAGATACTATGTTCAGTTAGCTTCAAATTCAAAAGGCATAAAATAAAAATAATAATAGCAAAAGTTAGCTAGTCCTGTGTAGCACTTACTGCGTTCCAGGCATTCTTTTAGGCATTTTTATTGCATTAATTTAACCCTCACGAAAGTGATGCTGTAGGTACTACTGTTATCCCTATTTTGCAATAAGTGAACAAGCGAGAGAGGAATACCTGAATAAGAAACCTGGTCTGGGTTTTGTCCTTTGGCCGGTCAAATGTCACAACCTTTGGAAGGCCTGTTAGGAAGATAACTCTCTCTTATGGGTTGGATTCAGTATGCCTACCACCAGGCCTTTTTTTTTTTTTAGTAACACTGCATTTTTGCATTTTTCTGTTATCTCATTTTTAGACCAAAAACTTCTCTAAGGCAGATACCCAGACTTATGCTTTTGTGCAGCCCAAGGACTAAGCACAGTTTCTGGCACAACTAGGTACTTACTAAGCACTGCTTTGCTTTGCCAGGACTATTTTCCCATTAACAAATGACTGTATCTGCTCTGCTTACTTCACAGAACTAGGAAATCAAACGAGAGTTCATAGCTGTTTGTAAACTTCAGAGCATGCACAAATAGATATTAAACCAGTTACAGAGTCCATGCTATATGCTTAATGAAGATGGACGCTTTTAACACCTCTGGACATTAACAGAGGGGTTGGCACCCAGCACAAGTAGGATCTCAGCAATTCAATGTGTCATCCTGTTCTGGCCTGCTTATTTGAAGTTGATAGTCTTAATTATTTCAAATGGTTTTTGTATATTCTGATTGCATGCATTCTACAGAAGCAGATAAAATTGAGTCTTTTTGGTTTTCGTTTGTAGAGACAGGGTATCACTATGTTGCTCAGGCTGTTCTTAAACTCCCGGCCTCAAGCAATCCTCTCACCTGGGCCTCCCAAAGTGTTGGGATTAAGGTGTGAGCCACAGTGCCGGGTCAAAGAGAGGAGTATTTATGTTTTGACAGTTACATATTGCATACTTATACTGTCTAAACTAGTTGCATAATGGTTCTGCTATCTAAATCAGTGTTTCTTGGCATTGGCCACATATAAAAGCCGTGAGGTTGTACTTTTGTTTTTGGAAATTAAACATTCTTAGGTTCTGCCCCCAGATTCATGGAATCAGGGTCTCTTGGTGGGAGGGAGAGATCACCGTAGGTAATTTTTATGAGTATCTAGGGATGTTCTATATACTGTCTAAATACTGTGAAAATAATGGCTTAATGTCCACAACTTTTAACAGAAAATGCAGTTGTTTCATATATGATAGCTCTCAAGAGCACTAACATTTACTTTGTTACTCTAATGTATATTTTACAGTCAGTTTATGCTGGTCAGTTCTGTAGATACTCTAATTACTCAAAACCATATGGCCATGGCAAGCAGCTGATAAGTAGGTGGTGCGGTGGCTCACGCCTGCAAGCCCAGCACTTTGGGAGGCCAAGGCGGGCAGATCAGGAGGTCAGGAAATTGAGACTATCCTGGCCAACATGGTGAAACCCCGTCTCTACTGAAATACAAAAAAAGTTAGCTGGGCGTGGTGACACATTCCTGTAGTCCCAGCTACTCGGGAGGCTGAGGCAGGGGAATCGCTTGAACCTGGGAGGCTGAGGTTGCAGTGAGCTGAGATCGTGCCATTGCACTCTAGCCTGGGCAACAGAGCAAGACTCTGTCTCAAATAAATAAATAAATAAATAAATAATAATCTTTGCCTTGTTTGGGAGAAATTTGGGGTGTTAACCAGCTAGCACTCCCTTATTTTAACAGAAAGTACAGCTTTACATGTAGACATTTTATGATTTGCTGTGGAGATGAGCAGCCATCTATTCATGCAGGAGCCTTGATGAGGCTCATCAGTTTCCATAAAAGGATGTCATTCTTACTATCTGCTAGTATGATGGTCAGAGTATTATGTGTGCCCTTAGTAACATACAGGACTAGCAGGCGAGGCCCCCATCAGAGAATATAACCTGGAGTGATCTGATACACAGTTTTTGTCAAATACCTCATTATGGAGAATTGTTTGAAGGACATGCAGTCCAAGTATTTATTCTAGAGTTTATTTATTTATTCTAAAGTTTATTCAGGTATCAAGGTGAGTCATCAAAAAGCTGTTTTAAAAATATCTTATCTTGCTACTCCTACCTTACTTAATTTTCTCACTTGTGAAAGAGAGCTTGAGTTCCCAATCACATGCATTGGGAGTTTATCCAATGGGTATGTGATCCAGCAGGAGCATAGCTGTGGATAATTGGGGAATTAAAAAAAATTAATAATCAAGTATAATCCTGTGCCAATAGGCTGAAACTTATTAAAATGCAGCTGATTGGAAAAGCTTGATTTTCTTCCTTCCGTAGAGATCATGTTAAGTGCTATTTTTCATTAAGTGGGCTTAGTATACAAAGTGGAAGTGTGGCACTCCCATTCTAATTATTTTACAGCACTCAGCATTTTTCTGCATATCTTCTTTTATATCAATGATTTTCAGTTTCTGGCTAGTTTCCCCTAGTAAAGTGAGCCATTTGTTCTTTCGTCAGAAAAAAAAACAAAAAAATCAGTTGATGATTTGTTTTCTAAATGAGTCATTTCCTTATTCTAACTAAAAACCTTATATATTAAAAATGTAAGACAGACTTTCCCACAATTTGCGTCTGGAAACTCTGGCTGCTTTTACAAGTTGGGGGGCATTTGTTATAGAATAATTTTTTTCCACTTACTTTATAAGTCGGGAACACATTAGTACTAAATGACAGAAACCTGAAGAAGAGCTTCACTGGATGGAGATTTGTTTTAACAAATCCCGTGGTGTAGGCAGTAAGAGTTGGTACTACCAGAGAACAGGGTTTTCCCTATTTTTGTCCTCACTTTGGCATCCTTAGAGCCTAAGAATTTGTCCTCAGTCTTCCCTTTTCTAGGACTGTTAAGTTCTAAAATGGCTTCTGTGCTTCTAGCAGTTACTTCCCCTGAAGATGGAAAGGCAAGGGCGGAAAGGCTTTCTTCTTCCAAGGCTGTTCGGCCCCTCCCCCTCCATTCTACCAGGAGTTGTTTAAATTTTATTGAAGGAAACTACAACACATGGTCACTTCTAAGTATAGGGGAGTGGAGAATATTCTTCTTTTACTTTTGACATATATAGCAGGAGAGACAAAGAGAAGAGGCAGATGAGTGGCTTCTTTCTTCTTTTACAGTCTCTAACAAGTGTTCTTACTGAAAATGGGCCAGTATTTTTTTTTTTTTTTTTGTATTTTGCCTTTAATATTGCTATTTTTCTTTAGTCATAAGTTAGGAATTCAGAACACATTTAGTCTGAATTGATTCAAATAGGTCATTCTTTTTTTGATGTACATATTGTTTTGTAAAGTGTGGAGATTATTTAATTGATAAGTCACATTCTGAAATCCATATGGGTAGATGATATATTGCAAACTTTAATGCTTTTAGAATACAGAGTCTGTTGTAGCCTTTTGAACAATTTTGAATTTTCATGAGACAAGTTGAACATAGTAACTATAGATTTTGAACAAATGGCAGTTTTTATACCAAAGTAGCATTAGAGGAGTTTTTTTAGGAAGCTGATTGAAGGGAGATAAAAGCAATAAAATATTGGAAATGAGGTAAAATTGTATACCTCGTAAGACAAGTAATGCTTTTGTTTGAGAGTAAATGAGGAGAAAAATAATGACAAACAGCAGAGGTAATCTAGGATAGTAAAACAAGGAAAGAGCAATCAAACAGATTCGGCTCCAGATCTTTTCTACCACATACAAGTAGCGGCACTTTCCATGTAACCTTCTTCCATTGTGCCTCAGTTTTCCTATCTTTTTACATAACTAGTAATGATGCTAACCTCCTAGTATCATTTCCACCTAGGAAACTGCTTGACATATGATAAGAGGTAGTTAGTATTTAGCTTCCTTTAATGAATGCATAAAGGTGAATATTATGCCTCTTTCAAAAGCAAAGCATGTCTAGTTCAGTGTCTGTGGCCTAGTCAATGTATCTTTCACGTTGAAGAAACCCCATACGTTATCAATAGGCTGGCTGTAAAGCTTATGGCCCAGTGCTAGTATGTATTGAGAGTGGCTACCTAAAGTGAGACAGATTTTGTAGTAAAATTTGGTAGAATTTATTGGAATTTAGGAAATATAATTATACTTTCAAAATCTTTTTTTTGTTTCTTTATAGTTTTTTATGTTTTTCTCCAAACTAGGATTTTAAGAGTGGACTTGGTATTACCATAATTCCTATGAATGTAGCAAATGTAAAACAAGTGGACCGAACTGTGAAACAGTCTTTTGAAATAATCACTCCCTATAGGAGTTTCAGGTAAGCTATTTTTAAACATTTTGTGTTCGTACTACTATAGGAAAGCTTGGGTGATCCACCTTTATGTTGTTCATGGTGATTTTTCTCTTGTAGGCCATTTAAAGTTATCATCCTGCTTTTCCATATTGTCTAATTCATTAGCCACTTTGTAAAAACACCTTGTAAAAGTGACCTGAATAATCACAAAACATGCAAAAATATTTATTTCATGAAATTTGAGTAATTTCTTAATACATAATTTTCTTACTGGGCATGGTGTATGTTAATTTTTTGAAAACAAATGTGTGATAATTTCCTTCTCATTTAGAAGTCACGAAATAAAAACATATTACATTGTCTTTAAGTTGTATTGCTGTTTATCTTCTTTTAGCCTGATCAAATACAATCCCTCATTTAAAAATCAATTCCTAATTACATTTGTTCCATATGATTTCCTCCAGGGACTCCAGCTTCAAATGATACTAAATTTAATGAATCTCTTAGCACCTATTGATCCAAATATTTTAGCATTTTTTATATATCTTGTATTATGGTATTCTACTAACTGTATCATTATGACAATGAAACAGATAATTTAAAGTACTTAATATGTTTTAATAAACTAAAATGACTCTATAGTTTTAATATACAGAAGAGGCATAAGTCAACATCTTTTGAGTTCAACTATATTAATTAGTTTGTTATAAATAATCACATCAGAGTAGTGTGCAAGTCAGAGGCGATTGTTCTAGGCCTTTAAAGGACTAACAATTAGGAATTTCAAAGATACTATCAAGTGTGTTACTCATTTTGCCTGTTAAACTATATCCATTGCCTCAAATTTTGAGAAAGAAATGATTGCATAAAAATAACAAGCTTTATTTTTACATTTGCAGATTCTAGCCAAAACTAAAAATATAGATATTAATATATTGTCTGTGACAAATTTCTAGTAGAACCAGAAACCACTAAAAGTGATGGAATCCTAGAGCTTCAAAAAGTATAATTCATGTAGGCCATTTATTTTTATGGATTATTTAGAATATGTTGGCTGTGATTTTCATTATATTTCAAAGCATTTTCCTCTTTACAAAGAAAATTTTAATATACATCAGTTTTGTGGGTCATTGACCTAGTATGTAGCACTGTAGCATGTTCCTTTGCACATTGTAGGGGCTCAGTAAATATTTCTTGAAGGAATGAACTGCTGTTTAATGTTTTTATTCGTTCACTTGAGCTCCCAGTAAACATTAAGATTCAGAATAAATCAGAACGTGGCTAAAAATGTGTTAGAAAACTGTTAGAATGGTAACCACTTAAAACTTTTTTGATTTCCCAGTTTCTTAGAACCATCTGGGCATTCTTCTAATTAAAAAAAAAAAAAAAAAAAAAAAGAGAATCTATTCTTAAGTTTGAAAAAAAAAGTCACAATTTCTGGTGGGTGTTTTTGATAACATAGCTTCAGACTATCATGGCATACTTGCTTGGCAAAATATTCCAGTAGCCCTGAAACTCTGCCAATAAACTCTTATTGATGATTATATAACAATTGCTTAGGAAACATAGCCTCTTGTTCAGACTTGTGACCTAACATGGCAAATTTTATGTTTTCTTTAGAAAATGTGTATGTTAATTTTGGTTCAAGATGTGTAAACAAAGACATGAGCAATGTGGAAAATTAAAAGGAAAAAAACTACGATTTGTTGAGTTAAATGATTTTTAACAGAAAAGACAACCCAGAACTGCCTAGCAGGCATATTTTTCAGCTGTTGTTTAATTTGTGAGTGAAATGAATATGCAAACTGAACATACTGCTTAATTGGCCTTTACAAGGGAGATCGATAACACAGAAACGTTAATTGTTTCAGCTTTACAGCCGAGACTGAAAAAGAGAAACAAGATTGGATTGAAGCTGTGCAGCAATCAATAGCAGAAACTCTCTCTGATTATGAAGTAGCTGAGAAGATTTGGTTCAATGAATCTAACAGGAGCTGTGCAGATTGTAAAGCCCCGGATCCTGACTGGGCATCCATCAATCTCTGTGTTGTCATCTGTAAGAAGTGTGCAGGTAATTAGTGATAAGTGTTGCTCATCACTGCTTTGTGGCAGACAGACACTGAATGCTCTTCATTGTTATATATTATATATTGTAGCTAATGGTTGTGAAAAGTAAAACTAGAGAAAGCTTATTATATTTAAATCAAATTCAGAAATAGCTTATGAGTCTAAACTTCTCTTATGTATGACTTAGATATAAAAATGGATTTTTAAGCATGTAATCATATTTTGTGCCTACTGGTCAATGTATAGATTTTAAAAAGGCAATGTTGAAATTTCTAGATTTTAGGTATGTATGTTTTAGTATGCATCCTGAACAAGCTTGCATCTTTAACTTGAAGATTCATCCACCTTTCCCCAGTCATTTTTGGTAACACATATTTTTCACCTCAATGTTGTTTTGAGCACTAAACTTCATATGCCAGATCTGGTATCTCTTATAATAAGAATTTTTATAAAGAAGCACTTCACAAGACTATTGATGTTTATGAATACAAACCGGTACTATGACTGGTTTTCTTCTTGCGACCTCACACCTGACAACCTGACCTCTCCGTGTATTTGAGAGCTCAGACAGTTGCCCAAGTGAGTGGAAGGAAGTGGACCCCAGCTTAGGTGTGTGATCATGGAAGTTTTGGAGAAAGTTAACTACAGTCTAAACTTCAGTTGTCCTGGACTACCTGTGTCCCACCACCTTCTCTCTCACTGTCCGTATACACACACACACACACACACACCCCACACACAGAGAGAGATGAGAGACAGAGAGAGAGAGAGAGAGAGAGAGAGAATGCAGCTTGAATGCTAACCACTGTGCTGGTGTGCGGAATTGAAAACGTGTTTAAGACATGACATTTCCTTCATGATAATGAGACGAATGTTGGACTAGAGTTGAATACAGGCTTCAACAAGAACGCTGGAGAGGAGCACCTACCTCAGCTAGAGTGCAGTCAGTAGTGCAGCGACAGGAGTTCCTTCAGATCCTGAACACTTTTCTAGAGCACTGTTCAACTGCATTTCTCATCAAACTAAGATAGATTTCCTCACCAGCTAATTAATAATATCAATCACAACAAAAAATGCCCGTGAATCACCTTCTACTTTGTATTTTATCCCATCTTTTTCTTCTCTCCAGTTTCATTGGAAGAGACGGCCTTTGTGCTCTTCACAGCTGCTTTTTTTCTACCTTTGCTTCCTTTCTTTCCTCCCTGCTTAGGATACCACTTCATCACTTGTTCACTCTCTTATGTAAGTATTCAGCCATGGTTTCTTTTGTTTCATTGTATTAACTTGCACAAGTTTGTCTCATTAAACCATCAGGATTTCTGAAAGTTACCCATTTCCTTCTGTGTGTCAATCTCTGTCCCCTTTTCCTTTCATAGACAGGATGTTATAAGGAGTTGTAGTATGCATAGGTTTTCTTCATTCCTTTAACTTCCTAAGTTTTCTTCAGCATTCTGTAATCAGCTACCTTTTCACTCAACTGCCGTAAAAATCTTTTCACCACATTTACCAATGTATTTTACCTCTCAATTTTGGTATGGTCACTTACTATCTTTATTATTGTCTCTTTATTTGAGACTCTTGACAACATGTCTCTCTGTGACATCCATCCTCCCTTAGCTTACAAGATACCATTCGCTCTGTGTGTTCTTATTACCAGTCTTTTTTTTTTTTTTTTCCCAGGTTACTTTTCATGTTTGTGAGATACATGTGTTCCCTTGGGTTACATTCTCACTTCTCTTTTACTGTATTGCTGCTGAGTGATGTTATTTATCACTTTAATTCCACACTCATTTTTAAGCAGATGATTCTCACGCTGTCGGACACCGAACTCTTATGATTATATGCCTACTAGAATCTCTACTTAGATTTGCCAAATACACCTCAAATGTAACATGTCAAAAATGGAGCCATTGTTGTTCCCCTCAGCCCATTTCATAAAACTGCACATTTCCATACCTTCTCAATCTTGGTCAGAAGCAATACTGTCTACGCTGCACTCTCAAAGCCTAAAATCTGAGACACCTTCTTGACTCTTCCTCTTTCCTTCAAACCCACCAAGTCTCATTCATTTTATCTTATCAACCTCTCTCAATCTGTCTGCTCCATTTTGTTTTCCTGCTGCCTCAACTCAGAATCTGTCATGCCTGGGTTACTCCAGCAACCCCTTTCATGTCTTCCTACAGGCTTTTAAGTTTTTACCTTCTGGGTACTGTATTGCCTGTAGGTAGTCATTATAAATGCAAACCTATGCAGATTTATTCCATAGGAATTTAGGGCTTTGTACTTTAAGTAGTTTCTACCAAAAAAAAAAAAAAAAAAAAAGAAAAAAAGACAAGAACCTCTTACCTATTGTAGGGAAAGGAATGAATATGAATATTCATTGTTCATTAGGCTAAGGGCCCTTAAGATCAAGGATAGTGGACTGTATACTTTTTTCCTTCTCAGCTTTGAAATAATCTGACATAGCCTGGTTGCTCAGTGATGACTGAATGATGATATTTACAGCACAATTGAATTGACAGTAATAAAATTCTGGGCTCTTACTCTCTTCCAGACATACTTGTTGAATAAAGTATTCATGTCAGATTTTTAAGGACACACTTATTAGACATGTAACTAGTTTTACAATAGTCAAGTTTTTGTAACAGTAAAGAAATATTATCTGCATTTACATACATGTGGTTTTAGCAAGCTTTACAAAAGGTTTTCAGTGGCCTATTTCTAGCTGATTACCAAATGAGGAAATATTTATACAAGTATCTGTACATATGCGCACATGCACATAAATATATTTTTAAGTATAGTTTTTTTATCAGTGCAGATGCTGATGATGATTGCTGCTGTTTTTATTGTAGCCAGCTGTGATTGGTCTAATTCCCACTACTATTGTTAGTGCTCTTGTCATCTTGTCATTGAGGAAAGCAGGTATTGGCGTGTTTTAAGTTGAGGAGATACACAACGAACATACACAGACATATACACTTTTTTCCAAAACAAAGTAAAATAAATTTACATACAAATTAAAATAGAAATGAAATTGTGTTTTGACTCTAGGCCAGCATAGATCTTTGGGACCAAAAGATTCCAAGGTTAGAAGTCTAAAAATGGATGCTAGCATTTGGAGCAATGAACTCATCGAGGTGAGTCTTATTTAACCTGAATGGGGTTGTGGTAGGGGTTCAGTTTGCAGAGACTGGGAGGAGGTATGCCATGGGGTGGGGTGGCAGGAATTTTTCTCAGGGCTCTTTGATAAAGTTCTCATTACATTACGAAAATAGCTTATAGACTTTTTAATAGTAACTCTTTGAGAATGCTTCCTAAATGAGATAGTTATTTTAAAAGTAAAAGTATAGATGATCCTTAATAATAATAATAAGGATTTAGAAAGGTTTGCCAGCTTTTTTTTGTGTGTGCTAGAACTATGTGTGTGTGTGTATGTGTGTGTGTGTATGTGTGTGTGTGTGTGTGTGTGTGTGTGTGTGTGTGTGTGTGTGTGTCTTAAACCCAGCATGGGTACAATAATAGGAGAGTGAATGAGAACATTTGGAAAAATTTAGTGTTCTTTACTTTGGTCATACTCTGTCATTAACTGTGATCGAGGCTACTTTGCTATGTCCTGTCTCCATTTTTGGCTCCTGTTCCACCACCAAGCACTTTAGACAGCATTAGCCCACCTACTCGGCCATTTAAAGTGAATCTGTCTCAGTTGGAGTGTCAAAGAATGAAAATACTTTTGCTACTATTTGTGTTGTTTGCAATTCTTTACAAGCTAATTTCTTTCCATTATTTAGAGTGGCTAGGCTGTATTCAAAACTGATCATAGTATCTGCTTTCACTCCTTTTTCTGGAAGAGTTAGGTCTGTCAGTTGTTTTCCTGTACTTTATACTAAGTTATGCTTTAATTTGTAATATAATTCAGTTTCCTGCAGATTCAAATACCTTTTATGAACTGATATATTATGGGTTTTTTTTTTTTTGTGACAATTCAGCTTTTTATTGTCATTGGAAACAAAAGAGCAAATGACTTTTGGGCTGGTAATCTTCAAAAGGATGAAGAATTACATATGGACTCACCAGTAGAAAAGAGAAAAAACTTTATTACTCAGAAATATAAAGAAGGAAAATTCAGAAAAACCCTTTTGGCATCTCTCACTAAAGAAGAATTAAATAAGGTATTCAATTAAACATAACAGGAGACATGGATTTTAATGTCTTTTTAATAATGTGCCAAGATTCTTGAGAAAAAGTAAAAAATCTTATACAATCTGACAAAATTATTTATTTTATTTCCTTTTGTGAGATTATTTCAGTGGTTTCCCCCTTGTTTCACTTAAGGATTCATTGTCAAAAAAGCATAAATTCTTCCTCCATAACTGAAGTTTCCTGCTAACTCATGGTGCCACAATCTGAGGATTTGGAAGCAAATGGGGATCCAGTAAAGTGAAGTCTGAGGACTGATATAATGTGGGAAGAAAGGATGAGAAGAGATGTAGAGGCAGCTTATTATTTCAAGGCAAAAGAAAAAAAAAATTCTAGCAATTCCTATTGTTTGTACAAAGATGATATATAACATAAGTCAATCATATTTTTTATTGCCTCTTTCTCACTGTTCTTCCTCCTTCCTATCCTCGACCCCCGAGGGGAAGATCCTGAATTTGCTTTGCACTCATCTTTCAATTTCTCATAGCACTTAATAATTCAAATATTCTGCAGCTCCTGATTAGATTGGAAAATATATATTAACATTAATATGAAAAACACTTAATGGTTACTTCATTATTATATTGAAATATTTTGATTCTCTGCACATCAACCATTATCATAGTATGTAAGCATAAAAATGTCTTCCAAAGCAGGTATGATGGATTAGGTTTAGAAGAAACATCATAGCAACCAAACAATGAATTGAGACTTGGAGGTCTTGGGTTGTAATTTAGATTCACACAAACCAGGCCTTTTGTGCCTATTGCCTAATTCATGGCATAATTATTAGTAGCTGCCTTAGGATAAAAGGAATACAGACTTTATCCTATACATGAATTGTCAGACTTTCACTCATTTTAATGGCTAAAATCTTTTCTTTCCTTAAGATGTGTATTCTCTTTTAATGACCAGGCTCTGTGTGCTGCTGTAGTGAAACCGGATGTTCTAGAAACAATGGCTTTGCTGTTCAGTGGAGCAGATGTCATGTGTGCCACTGGAGACCCCGTGCATAGCACCCCCTATCTGCTAGCCAAGAAGGCTGGGCAAAGTCTGCAAATGGAATTTCTCTACCATAACAAATTCTCAGGTTCGTCACTGTCTCTTCATTAACCTGGTCCCTTCCGATATATCCGTAAAAGGACTGAAGCATGAATCTATTTATTTTTCAAATAAGAGAAACCATCAGAATGAAGAAAAATGTAATTACCGAAAAGATGGAGAGGCCTAAGACTATTTCTTATATCATTTCAATAAAAAGTTTAGGAAGTCAATCTTTTATATTCTCTTAATCTTGTAAATGGAAGATTAAAATAGCTAACCCACATAATCATTTCCACCAACATTAAATCCGATTTTCATATATGAATAATAAACATGACTTAAGTGCTTATTTGCAAATTTTATGCAAAGTAAAATAAATATCTCTATAATTATTCTTTGGTAAATTTTAAGTAGTTTTTCTTCTAGCTCAAAACTCATGTACATATGATAAGCAAAAGGAAAATTGTTTATATTTTAGATATTTCTTTAATTTTTCTAGATTTCCCTCAACATGATATTCATTCTGAAGGTGTATTAAGTCAAGAGTCTTCCCAGTCCACATTCCTCTGTGACTTTTTGTATCAAGCTCCTGCTGCTGCTTCCAAACTCTCTTCAGAGAAAAAACTGCTTGAAGGTATTTTTTTCTGTTCCTTTTAGATATTGTCTGATAAAAACTTTATTCCATTATCAAAACAATTAGGTTTAGATTTTGATTTTTTGAGATGTTAGATTTGATCTCCAAGTAGAGATATTTTTGAGGATGTATAAACGCTTCTAGGTACAAATATTATTTCATATACTGCAGCAGGGATTTACCATTGGGTTGGAATGCTGAGTGAATTCTCAACAGAATTCACTGATACCTACCTTAAGGCTAACCAATTCTGTTTCAGGTTATAAAGGTTATTCCGACAAAAAAAAAAAAAACGTGAAACTCAGCTCCTTTCCTTAGGGATGGACACCCCAACTGGCTTACTAGATAATGCAGATAAATGTGAACACATAGGAAGAAATGACAAAATTTTAGTACATATTCAATTAGAGTACTAAGTAATATCAAAAAGTTCACTTTTTTTTTTTTTCTGATGAAAAGTATGTGTGTCTGTGTGTGTGTTTGTTTAAGTAAAATAAAACTTAAGCTTGATTTCAAAAAATGATGAGAATCTGATTTAACAACATACTCTAGGTTTGGGGAATTAACTGAGCAGAGTCACAATGGGGCATTTATTCATTTATCCTTCCAACTCCTTGTGTCAAACTGATGCTAGGTATTGGGAGTTTAAAAATGACTAAGACACAGCCCTTATGCTCATGTATATACATTGGAACAAATCTGAGAAATATAGGCAGGAAAATATAATGCAATCTGCCTTACTGGAACAAAGAGTGTAAGAGAGATTAAGCTGTACCTGCCAATTGATGGTGGCCATTGTTGGGCTCTGGAGCCTAGCATTAATTCACTAGGTGATATAATTCAGCTATATTACTCAATCAAAAGAACTACAGAATGACAAACTTACTGTAGAGTGTTAGTCCTCATATATGTGATTTGCAGTTCTTATTTCAATATAAAAGCTTTATTTCCAAATATATATATATGAGACATATAATATATCCTGAAGCAGAATTATATTGGGATTAACTATGCATTATTAGATTTTCCTGAAAAGAATAGCTGTCCTATAGTGAGTGAGCATGTATTATGTGTAAGGCATGGCTTTAGGTACTTTACATACATTAATTATAATCCTCATAAAAGTCTGCAAGATCATTGATGTTATGTCGATTTTCACATGAACAATGAAGCTCAGCATGAAACAGAAGTTTACACCTGATTTGTGTTCTCATTGTTACAGTAGCACTTTAGCTTTGGTCAAAGTGTGACAGCCAGATGACAGTAGAATGGCAGAGCATTTTTATCCTTTGAATTAGATGTTTTTGATTCTTTCGACAATTGGTTTTTGTCATCCTATACTCAGCCTAGCCAATAATAAATGTCAGATTTTACTGAGTTTTTGTTGTTTTGTTTTTGTTTTATTGTCTTCCACTTTTACTGTCAGTATTATCCCTAAGTAGTTAAAAGATAAGTGATCAGAAGATGAAAGTTCTTGGACACTCTGTGAATTGACTATATCAATCATCAAAATAATTAAAGTACTTAAAAAAAAGTTTAGAAGAATGTTTCTTCTAAATACTCGGATATCACAGACTCATTCTTCAGACCAGTTTTATAAAGATCAAATGGGGATTTAAACACAAGATTTTCTTCCCAAGACTTTTCAATATATTGTAAGCATTGTACAGGTTAAAAATAATCTTTATATTATTTTTGACAATTGTGGTTATAATATTTGTAAACTTACCAGTCTTCTTTAATATTTTCTTGAAAGAGATTGGTTTTTAAATTTATTTGAGTACTACATTGATGTAATAAACAATTGTAACTAAATAATTCCATTTTTTGTATATTAACTATGGATTTTTGGTTAAAATTTATTTTAAAAAAGAAATGGGTGCATTATCTATATATGTAATTTACGGATATTTTTCCATTTTAAAACACTACCTTTTAGGTAATATGAAAGTTAGCTTCTGTATTTTTTCTATATAGTACAATAGCAATGATTTTAATGAAAATAATCTGGCAGGGTATTCTTTGATTGTCTTAATATCTTTCATCCAATTTACCAGCAAGTTCTATCACTTCAAACTCAAAATAGATCTTGAAGCAGCTGGCTACTCTTCATTTCCACTGACGTCCTTCCAGCCACAGTAACCATCCTGACCTACCTATGCTGCAGTGCCTTCCTTAATTGTCTTTCTGTATTTACCCTAGCTTCCCTTCAAAACTGTCTCCAAGAAAGAGGCTTATCTTTTTTGTTTCCTTCCTTCCTTCTTTCCTTCCTTCCTTCCTTCCTTCCTTCCTTCCTTCCTTCCTTCCTTCCTTCCTTCCTTCCTTCCTTCCTTCTTTGCTTCCTTCCTCCCTCCCTCCCCTCCCCTTCTTCCCTCCCTCCCTCCTTCCCTCTCTCCCTCCCTTCCTTCCTTCCTCTCTCTCTTTTCAGATGGAGTCTTGCTCTGTCGCCCAAACTGGAATGCAGTGGCACAATCTCGGCTCACTGCAACCTCTGCCTCCCGGGTTCAAGTAATTCTCTTGCCTCAGCCTGCTGAGTATTTGACATTATAGGCACCCACCGCCACACCCAGCTAATTTTTGTATTTTTAGTAGAGATGAGATTTCACCATGTTGGCCAGGCTGGTCTTGAACTCCTGACCTCAAGTAATCTGCCTGTCTCAGCCTCCCAATGTGCTGGGATTACACGCGTGAGTCATTGCGCCTGGCCAATTATCTTTAAAAATGGAAATCACCCAGGTAGTCAGAAGGCTGGGATAGGAGGATTGCTTGAAGGCAGCTTGGGCTACATAGGAAGATCATGTCTTCTACAGGTCAACAACAACAACAAACAAACTGGAAAACTGAACATGTAATTCCATTGCTCAAATCTAGTGGCTCCTCATTCCAGAATATAACCTTATTTTTTATTGTGACCTAAAAGACCTTTTTAGTAGAATGGCGTGAACCTGGGAGGCGGAGCTTGCAGTGAGCCGAGATCGTGCCACTGCACTGCAGCCTGGGAGACAGAGCAAGACTGTGTCTCTACATGGTTACTTGCCTGGCTGTGCTGGTTTCCTCCCTATTCCTGGAACATGCCAAGTCCTTTTCTGCCTCTTTTGGTCCTTTTCACCTGCTGTTCCCTCTGCAAAGAGGGCACTTCCCCCAGTCTGGTTCCTTCTTATTCAGGAATCAATTCAGTTCCCCCTAGTTAGTGAGGCCTCTCTAACACCCTACTAATGTGTGAACCCACTGCCAGCCCTTCTCGTTCATAGGATGCTGTGTATATTCATCCTACCACTGATCACACGGAGATGTGCTGTTTCCATTTATTTGTTTCTCTTTCCCCCGAAGTGAAAGCTCAATGAGGCATCAGCTTTTTCTAGCTTGTTAAGGATTATCAAATCTTTGATACCCAAAACAGTGTCAGCACATGGTAGGACATGATAAGTATTTGTGGAATGATAGAAGAATCATTTTTTAGGAAAGTTACCACTAGTGTAAATGGATGACTCATATGTCAATAATTTGGTTTTGATCTGTGGATAAAAAGATATAATTGCTGGTACAAAGCATATTTTGTGCAGAAAGCCCCTACTTACAAATGAACAGGAAAAGTTGAACTATCCAGAAAAACTTCTGTATTTGTTTCTTTTTCTCCCTTGAAGTTTGTGCAATAGTGTTGTTTCTGTTGAACATCAGATTTATGAAAAAAATGAATTATTTGGAAAGATTTAGAGATTAAAGTGTGGTTGTCACCTTTGCCTCTGAAAGCAAGCACTTGGATGCTACCACTCCATCAGCACTTGTCAGGACAGCCATAGAGCAAAATGATTAAAAACAGAGACAAAAGTCTGGGAATAAAATGCATGCAGTTCCAGAGTTTCAGAGGCTTCAAATTGTCAGTTCAGGTTTTCGAGATTTGAAGTTTTTCTAGCCTCTGGTTATGAAGACTGATCTGTATTTTTCTTTTTTTTTTTTTTTTTTTTCCTTTTCAGTTTAGTGTTCATGAAAAGAAAGATGGATTGCTTTTGTTGAGCCTAAGCACAGAGTTGAATAATAGCATCCTGGTTTTGTTTTCCCTTTACCTACCTCGACCATATTTTTTCCCTTGATATCTTAGCTTGATTTGTTTACACAGTATTCGATTTTTAAAAAGAAAGTGGTTGTTTTGGATTACTAGAAATTATATTTGTCTGTTTATATTTAACTTTGTGGATTAACATTGAGGAATTTTGAAGATCTTTTGTTCTGTGAAAGCCTAGATTGTATAGCTTAAACATGTTTTTCCAAAGCTAAAACACGTGTCTTTTAAATGAAAAGGATTACTAACATATATTACTGTTTGTAGTGGGTGTTGAATACTATTAATTTAGGAAATTTCTCATGAAACGAATTCACAGTTTCAAAAAATAACAGTTTTGCCTTAACTACCTCAGATGTATTGTATACATATGTATTAGAAGGTATGACTTCTTTACCCTAATACATTTTTGAGATGAATTTATATAGTTCAAGCATTTAACAGATACAGTGAGTAACTGTGTGCAGGTGCTAAGAGGGCGGCTTCCAGAACCCACCTGCCAGTGAGGTTAAAACAGCAACTTTCAGAACCCAATTGCCTGGGGTTCCTTCCCCACCTCTGATGCTAAGTACTTAATGTGACCTCAAGAATGTCGATTAACCTGTTATGTGCCAGTGAAAAGGGTACAAGGAAGGGGCATAATATAATTGACATAACTGGGTTGTTCTGAGGATTCAATGAGTTAAAGCATGTAAAATGTGTAGAACAGTGCATGACACATAAATATGATGATGATGATGAAGAGGAGCACTGAAGAGCTTATGTTTAAACACAGTTGCCCCTGACTTCCAGTTAGCTTTTGAGTTTAGTTATGTTGTCCTGTAGGCTGTAGCCAACATTTACGGTATCCAACTATATTATGTCTATCATTCCATGGTAGTGTTTCAGTTGGTCACCTCTGGGGAATTCTTTACCTGTGCTTGGGTAAATCTTGTAGTAATGTTTTTCTTCACTGATCTCAACATGAAGATTGAATAGAAAGAATGAATAACCCTTCTTGCCAGTCCACTAAATTTACTTGCATCCTATAAGCTCCTATTTATGGAACAGCTGAGGCCTGAGTGTCATTCATTCTGTGGCCCCAGTTTTATGTTGGTAAACAGCTTCCTTTAACAATTAAAATGACTTGTGGAGCAAAGAGGGTTTCGAGGAGGGTACCGACATTTCTCAAAGTCAGATTTAGGAGTGAATATCTAAATTAGCCCAGGCAGACCAGCATCATATAACATAATCTTGCTGAACCTTTTCATTGCTTCCCATATCAATGGGAATGTCACGATTTGCTGTCACAGCTTCATTATTATAAATCCTCAAAGACAATATGTGTGCCTGCCTTGTCTGACTTCTAGCCCGTTTCACTTACAAAAATAAAGCTAAGAAATGGTTACAGAAATGAGAAAGCTACAGGCCTAACTCTCCTCAAGCTTATAATTCTAACTGAAAATGAGTTTGTACATACCATTTTAAAGAGATGTGTCATTTGTTTCCCATTAGAATTTACATAATGAGATTCTGCAGTCACATTTATGTTATGCTTAATTCATTTGGCACTGTTTGTTTAAGACCTTCGAATGGCTCCCACTTGTCTAAGTGAGAGAGGCACAAACTCCTGAACACCTGTCAAGTGAGACTCTTGGGGTCTGGCCTCTGCCGTGAACCTGCAATCTTGTTTCCCATTTCCCAACTTCACATATAATCTGATTCTCTGGGCAAATAGGGTTTCTGCAGTTTCACCTTTCTATGACTTTCTTCTTACTGTTCTTTCCTGATGCTATGGAAGGATTGTGGCTCTGAATGCTTTTTTTGCTACTTTAGAAACATGCCTCCTAAATCATGAGGGATTATTTTATAGACTTTTTTTTCTTTGCAGTTTTTTTTTTTTTTTTTTTTTTAAATCACTTCAATATGAGGGGTGGCTTACCTCCTTGAATGCTTCTAATCTACTAAAGAGACAACCTGCTGGTTATCATTTTGAACGCATCTCCCCTTTCATTGGATTACAAGCTGCCTGAGAACAGGGGTGGATCTCCTAATCTATGACAGTGATTAACTATGCACTGAATAATTGTACATTTTTTATTTATTCTCTTATGAAGATTCTTCTAGACATCTGAGTGCATTGCTTTGAAATTACTTCCAAACTCCCTTTGATTAGTATTTTGACTTTATCTTTTCTTATATTTTAGAAACTCGCAATGAATATTCATTTAAAAATTGTGGCTTTTCACGATTTTTATCTAACTGTGCAGGACGTACACTGTGACTCACGATTTGAGGGCCCTGGAATTATATATCACTTTTGACCAGGAATTGCTTTGGTCTCTGTTAGTTTTCTTTTCCAGTGCCCATAAAAGATTCGTTTATGCTATTTGCTTCTGCCAGTCATGATTGGACTTTCCATTTGGTAATTCATTTTCAGAGTACTGTGTCCTATCTAGCTCTTTAGGTGTCACCATTTTGATTGTTACTCCTTGTGATTGTTTTTTGAAGCCAAATACATTGTCTTGTTTTCTTTCATGTCACCCCCACACCCACCTAAGATTCTGATCATATGCTAAAGGAAAAATTTGAAATTAGTTTAATATATTCTTAAGCTTTTAAATTAGTTTGACTAATAATTTGAGACTTACAGAAAAGTTCTAAGAATAGTGCAAATAATTCTCATATACCTTTTGCCCAGATGTATCAATTATTAACATTTTACATTTGCTGTATTTTTCTTTCTGTGTATGTGTATATATATGCCTATGTATAATACACATACATATGTATCATGTATGTATATACGGGTACATATTTATCTCATACTTTATATGCACACTTAAAAGTAAGTTGCACACATGACACCTCTTTACCTTTCGTAGTTCAGTATGTATTTCTTTAGAAGAAGGGCATTTATAAATAATACCTTAAAGTAACCACAGAACAGTAATCCAACTTCAGAAATTATCTAATATATAGACTTTCTTCATTATATCAAATATATAGACCTTAGTAGTCTTAGTGTCTGTAGATCGAATCTATATTTTAGGTGATGGTCTGATTTAGCCTGCAGGTGGTAGCGTGCTGACTTCCGTATAAGATGAATTTGAAATCTTCTGAACAAGCATTAAGGGCCCTGCAGATTCTGACCCTTCTTCTTTTGCATACCTACCATAAGCTGCAGTCTCACTTTTTATGCTACATTTTTTTTTTCCTTTTAATACTCTGTACAGACATTTCATTCTCTGCAGCTTCAGAGTTGTTTTTCAACAACCTCTTTATGGCTCTGCCTTCTCTGGTCATCAATGTCACAGCCATTTTTGTTTTATACATTCCTTGCTACTAGATTGTAAATTCTTTGGAGAGCAGAGAATATGACAACTTTATATCCCACACAGCAATATCATATACTTTATGTGAAATAGGCAATTAATAAATGTATTTACTTGCATCCAACCATTATTTAGAAGCATGTATTTGTTTTTAAAATTAGATTCATGATTAGCTCAATTTGTTATTTGTTTTGTTTTAAATTCTTAGAGACAAATAAAAAATGGTGTGTTTTGGAAGGAGGCTTCTTGAGTTACTATGAAAGTGATAAGTCTACCACACCTAATGGCACCATTAATATCAATGAAGTTATCTGCCTGGCTATACACAAAGAGGACTTCTATTTAAATACTGGGTAGGTCTATCTTTACACAATTAGGAGGTAAAATGTATTTTCAGATAATTATACCAGGTAATGAGAGTTTTGTTATTTTAGTTATTTAGTTGCTTCTAATAGAAGGGTTGAATGGTTTTTGAAGCTTACTTACCTTGCCCTTTTGGAAATTTCTTTTGGGAATTCACTATAAAGCAGGAAAACTAAAATATTTACAGTAGGTAATATGAAGTGCTAACATGTTCGAATCAAATCTTATGTATTTTTTTTTTGAGATGGAGTCTCACTCTGTCACCCAGACTGGAGTGCAGTGGCGTGATCTCGGCTCACTGCAACCTCCGCCTCCTGGGTTCAAATGATTCTCATGTCTCAGCCTCCTGAGTAACTGAGATTGCACATGCCACCACACCTAGTTAATTTTTATATTTTTAGTAGAGATGGAGTTACACCATATTGATCAGGCTGGTCTCAAACTCCTGACCTCAAGTGATCCGCCCATCTCGACCTCCCAAAGTCCTGGGATTACAAGTGTGAGCCCCTGTGCCTGGCCAAATCTTATGTAAATGTATAGCATATCATTTATGACCATTGTAGTCATTTAATTTTTTTACTTATTATTTAAAATAGTGTACTAGTGGTAAAATTCATTTATCCATTTAATGAGTATCATAATTAAAACAGATAAAAAAGGAGAATATTCTGTGATGATCTATTCACATTAAAATAAACTATTTAATATTATATTGAAATGCTAAATTTCTTAAAGATATATTTGTTAATTTAATGGTCAGAAAAAGTCACAATGAATAGATTAAGCATTATTTATGTAATATATTTGACTCACCTATACTATAGTTTAAATAAATCTCCGTGAGGACTTTAAAAGCAGGCCCCTAAGATCTTTGGAGTGAAAGTATCTTATCATGTTTTTTGATGTAATTAATGAAAAACATTGACATTAAAATCTGAAAAAAATCAGTTTTATAGGAGCATAGATTTTAAATAAGATTTTTATATGAGAAAGTGAAGAGATTTGCAAAGCTCTTATTTACATAAAACTATATTGAACATATTACCTTTATTTTATGATGACTAATTGAGATGACTTGTTTTCTAGTAAATCTGATTTGATTTATAATATGAACAAAACTGATTACTAATTGACTTTTGTTTTAATCTTAATAGTGTTTTACCCTAAATGATTATTCAATGTAATATGACTTATGGAATGTTAAAATAAGTGGATTCTATATATTAAGTTACTAATTAGTAAATGAAATATAACAAATATAATTAATACTAGTTTATGTCAGTATATTAATATGTTAAAAATAAAATATTCTTGATGACATATACTGATACAAGTAGATATGCAAAGAGAAAGTATCTACAATGAGATGCGGTTAAAAAATAATTGTTGCCATAATATTCTTGCTGAATTGCCTCAAATAGCACATTGGAGAGTATGACCCCAATAATGTAGGCACTGAACAGTTATATAGACATATTTTAGGAAGAGAGCTGGAAGAAGTGGTAAGGAGATTGGAGGAAGAGAGACTATAATTGTTGAGAATTTAACTAGAGGAAGAGAGTGAACTGATAAGATTAAAAGACTGACTGGACGAAGAGTTGATGTTAAGTGGAAGAATAAGTTACACTCAAGGGTTTTGAGCTTGTTGTGATGAGGTTCATTGTGATGCTTCTAAATTAGGATGTGAAGGAGATACAGCAGGCTTGGGATGGAAAAGAAGAGAAAGGAAGATGACTTTGGCATAGGGTATTTTGAGATTTTTAGGTAACAGTAGCACACATACTTAGCATGTACTAAGAAATAAATGGAGTTGTGAATGAGGAACTCAGGAAGGAATTCAGAGCATGGTATGTTGCTTTAATGTTATCTATAGTAAGAGTTAGAAATTTGGAGTAAGTTGAGATGATGAAAGGAACATTTATCTTTCTTACGAAAACTGTAAGAGAGTGTTAATGCTTCATGTGTTTGTGTTCTGGAGGGAACCTGCTGTATGACTGGGCCTATTTGAAATTAGACAAGAAGAGTATTAAAAACTGTTTGGGCAATGTTTTCTTTGAACAGTTGGTCAGAGTAAATCAAGAAGGAGTGGTGAGAGAGGGAAGACCAGACCAAGGAGAGCCCTTTGCTACATCAGTCAACTGATGAGTGTCCAGGGCGTAAACAAAGTTACACAATAGAATGATTAAGTGATTATACAAAATATTCCTTTTGTCCAGTCCAGTGTGTTCCATTTACCTCATCTGAATAAAATGCAAACCATTAACAGAATCTGATAGGATGATTTCACAGCATTACTTTACATTAAAAGGCATTTAATTAAAAAATTGACCTGTGTGCTATTTGTTTTCTTAGGAGCCAAACGTAACTGGTAGTATCTTTTTATTTGTGCATGTTTTAGGCCCATCTTTATCTTTGAGATCTACCTACCCTCAGAACGTGTGTTTTTATTTGGAGCTGAAACATCTCAAGCTCAAAGAAAATGGACAGAGGCAATAGCCAAGGTATTTAAATATTATGTTATTGCTCTAAATCCAGACAAGATTCTGAACTGGGAGTCTGTGTTTGAGCTTCAGGGGTCCATGAAAGTTTCATATAAGATTATAGGAATAAAGTTCATACTTCATTAGATTTTCAAAGAAAGTTGTCAAAAGAAGTAGCTACCTTCTAGGAGCCTTAAGCAGGGAAGAAATTAAAGTAAAACTTGGAGAAATAATTATTCAAATTAAGGCCATGTTTTTGATGGTTAGGATATTCTTAATATTGTAAAGTCATTTCTGTGTGTGTCTTTTTATAGGTAGATATTTTATTCAAGGTATACACAAAGGAGAAAGGAGCAGATTCAGGAAAATATATAAATGGAGAAAAATGCTGAAGGTTGACGTTTTGAAAAGTTCTACAAATCAATCAAGAGAATGTCTTGCGGTTTCAACTCTGTAGCAAGACAAGTGGTTTAAGATGCTGCCATTTGAAAATACATTATAGTTGTTCAGTTTTAACACTGATAGCAAGTTAAATTGTTTTGAATTTGGTGTTACCTTTGAATCTTTAAAATAGAAAAACTAAGATAATTTGTCTACCTTCTCTCATATCTGTAGATAGGGAAGGGATTTCCTGTTTTCACTGTCTTTATTACTTTTTTGTATTTGTTTTAACAGCATTTTGTTCCCTTATTTGCTGAAAACTTAACAGAAGCTGACTATGATTTGATTGGTCAACTCTTCTACAAAGACTGCCATGCCCTGGATCAGTGGAGAAAAGGCTGGTTTGCTATGGACAAATCCAGTTTGCATTTTTGCCTTCAAATGCAAGAAGTTCAGGGAGATAGAATGCACTTAAGAAGACTGCAGGAGCTAAGTAAGAGTTTTTTTCCTCCCTTATCTTTGGAACACATTTCTTTGTTGCATACAATAGTGGTAGCCTTTAGCAAAATCTTGATGGCTCACTCCCAAACTTATGACTAAGTAGTATTAATATTTGTGTCTTCATGGATGTTTATTGTAGGGTTTTAAAAAAAATAAGTTTTTGCTTTTTGTTCTCCCTTCAGCAATCAGCACAATGGTTCAAAATGGGGAAAAACTGGATGTCTTACTCTTGGTAGAAAAAGGGAGGTAAGTGCCTTTTTGCTTTTTGTTCTTTATCTCAACAACTCTGGGCAGTGGGATTGTTTTGTTGTTATTATCTTGAGGGAGAAAACAATATTTTAAAACCTGTTGAAATTTTCTGAATCATATAAATATACATATATATAGTATATAGTCTTTCTTTGGGAAGACTATACCAATGATATTTACATATTTTTATAATTTTTATGACAGACTTATTGTGATCAATTATTGTATAGTTTTCTATAGACCTAGATTCCTCTGTGACATTTACATTTAAGTATTTGGAAAGCAGTTTGGTAATTATAAATGTATCTTCCTGGTAAGAATATGATGACTATAAGTTGTATTCTGAATTATCTATGCGTATGGGTCACGCATAGCTAAAATTTGATCTCTTGAATTTATTCAGTTTTTCAGTAACTAGTAAGCATCTACTGTGCATCAGGGACTGTTAAAGGTATTGGTGATATCATGATGAATAAAACAGAGAAGTCGCTACCATCATGAAATATGTATACTATTAGGGAAAACAGTGTAAGTAGACAAAAATAATTATATGCTGTTCTGTCCATCAATTTTAAATTCTACGCAGAAAAAGAAGTAATATAAAAATAGTCTGATGGAATAGTATCTATGTTTGCTAGCTAAGAGAAGAAATATTGGATGAAAGATCTTCATAAAGTGAAAAAGTAAATTTTGCAGTAATCCAGATAGAGTATTTCAGGTGTAGGGCCAAGGGTATTTGAAGACTCTAAGAGTGTGTTGTACTTGGCATGTCCAAGTTCTGCAAGGAAGCTGTGGTGGCTGGGAATATTTGAATGAAAGAGAGAGTGGGAAGAAATGATTTCAGAGATACCCACAACCTTATCATGTAGGGCCTTATCAGTCATGATGTGTAAAGATTTGAAATTTAATCAAAATACGATGGGAAGCTGCTCAGTCTGAGAGCTGGGAAGTAGAATGGTCTGATTTATGTTTTTACTGGATTACTCTGACTCCAGATGAACAAGCTTCTGGGAGATGAAAGTGAAAGCGGGTGTTTAGTTAGGATGCTGGCCGGGAAAGCGATGGCTTACCTGAGAATAGGAGTGGTTGGATATATCGTGAAGGTAGAGGTGTCAGGATCTGTTGATGGATTAGATAACTGTAAGAGTCAAAGATGATCCCAGAATTCTTGACCTGAGCAATTACTGAATTATGGTGCTGTTTTTTGAGAGAACAAATACTTGGAGCATAGAGGTAGGATATTCGTAAGTTTAAGACAGTAGATCAAGAATTTGGTTTTGGGAATGGTAACTCGGAGATGTCTCTTTGGTGGCAAAGTGGATCTGGTGAGTAAGCAGTTGAATATGCATGTCTAGAATTAAGTGAAGAGGTTATATCTGGAGATATAAATTTGGGAGTCACCACTGTGCTCATGCTATTTTGCTAAGGAACTGGACAGGTTCACCTAGTAGAGAGTGTGGATAGAAAAGAGAGTTGAAGATATAGCCGGAGGTCCCCCAGTATGTAAAGGTCTAGAAGAGGAGAGTGATCAAGCAAAGAAGCCTGGGAAGGAGCAGCCGGGGACATACCAGAGCAATTAGGAAGACAATTTCTTTTATCTTTAATTTTGGATTCAAGGGGCACATATCTACATATGTGCAGGTTTGTTACATGGATATATTGTGTAGTGCTAGGATTTGGGCTTCTATTGAGCCCATCACCCAAGTAGTGACCATAGTACCCAATAGGTAGTTTTTCAGCCCTTGCCCTCTTCGGTCCCCACTTTTGGAGTCCTCAGTGTCTATTATTTCCATCTCTATTTCCGTGTATACTCATTGTTTATCTCACACTTATAAGTGACCACATGCAGTATTTGATTTTCTGTTTCTGTGTTAATTCACTTAGGATAAGGACCTTCAGCTGCATCCATGTTGCTGCAAAGGACTTGACTTCATTCCTTTTTTATGGCTGTGTAGTATTCCATGGTATATATGACCACATTTTCCTTAGCCTGTCAACCACTGATCGGCACTTGAGTTGATTCCACATCTTTACTCTTGTGAACAGTGCTGTGATAAACATATGGGTTCAGGTGTCTTTTTGGTAGAACCATTTTTTTTTTCCTTTGGATAGATACCTAGTAGTGGGATTGCTGGATCGAATGGTAGTTCTATTTGTAGTTCTTTGGAAAATCTTCAAACTGCCTTTCTTCTTCAACAAATTAGGTATTTTTTCCCCTTAGCTTCTTGTAATTTGCTTAAACAAAAAAAAACTCTTAATTATACTTGTTCAGTATGGTTTGCTTTATAATAGTGCAAGATTATTTGTATTCTTACAAAAAAGTGAGCTAGAGAAAAGAAAACGCTATTAAAATCATAAGATAAAACATATTTACTACTCATTAAGTGGAATTAGATCATCATGAAGGTATTCATCAGTGTCTTTATATGTGTAGGCTGAGGAGGGGTTGATCATGCTGTCTCAGGGGTGGCAGAGACAAAAGAAAAATCTGTGTGAAGGAATCTGTGCAGTTCAATCTTACGTTGTTCAAGGTTTAACTGCAATATTAAAATATAGCTAAATAAGCCTTCATTTGATTATTTTTATTGCTGTGACAAGGATAATGACTTTCAATGGTTTTCGGAACCTGCCTTTCCTTCAACTTCGCGGGACGACATCAAGAGCTTTATACAGCAAGAATATTACTGATTAGATATTTATGTCAGATTGTGTTTGTTAACTTCTAGGCATAATTAGGACTTTGCATTTTTACTTATTTCTTGGATTATTATGGTTAATGATACTTTATATTCTTATTTTTGGTACCAGATGATAATTTCACTGTACTGTCAGAGTATTGTTAATTTTATGTCCAGAAATAATGAGGAATTATTAGGTATAGATAGGATTTGACATTAAAATACTAGCATAAATGCAGTTTTACAGTCATTTATTAATATTTATGGAATGCCTACTGACTGCCACTTCCATGGCAGGAAAATAAAAAAGGTAAACAACATAAACTTGGTGTCTGACCCCTCAGAGCTTATGTTCAAACCGATAGGCAAGCATCAGCTTAGCAAATGTGTTTATCCTTTTCATTTTTTCAGGTTATTATAGCCAAGGTATTTTTGTACCATTTTTTTAATCTATGAAGGATTTGACCAGTGATACATAGGTTTGAATTAAAATGTAGCAAACGTGGATTAGAATGATTTAGTTTGATGAAATTCTATTTAGTGCTTACTGCACACAGTCCACCCCCTCACAAATGCAAGATATGGAAGCCAGAGCAGTAAATGTTTTGTTATTTTGTACGTTTGATCTTATCCTGTACTGTAGAAATCAGGAGATGAAATTCATTTGTAATATTATTTTTGAGTTCATAGAAAAGTAGAAAACTAATGAATTCCAAAATAATGGTCACAGACAGTAACATTTTTGGTAATTGAACGTTTTTGTCTACATGTGTTACTAACAAGTTATGTTGAAAGTATTTTTATGAAAGTGAAGAGTAATAATAGGAGTGGGAGAAACGTGAGGATAAATATAACCAAGTTATTTTCCTTAAATCTCTTCGCATAGCTAATGTACCATACCCACCACTTAAAAACACCTATATTATCACATACTTCTGTCTTTGGTTTACTTGCTTTTCCTTTTTACTCGAAATCAATATCATCTGATAATAACAATGATGACAGTAGGGCAGTTACCATGTGCCAAACCCCATTTTAAGTACTTAAATAGCCTTCTTTTGCCTATATGATATTGAGGAGAATGGTTCATTTTAAAGTTAAGGTCATTTTGTAACTTAAATTTTTTTTTAAAAAAAGTGTTCAATATTCATTTACCAATATCTTTGTAAAGATATTTCTCAGGATTTAAATAAACCATAGAGTCTGGATAGACCCTATGAGTTACTAGAATTCAAAATTTAAGCATTTATTAGCAAAATAAAAATGTTTACTAGAAAACATTTTTATAAAATTGTTAGAAAACATGTCCATACAATTCCTACCTAACTGAAAATGGAGTAGAGAGAAGGGAGGTCAACATCGTGCATAAAAGTAAAGAATCTGCACAGTAGATGACAAGAACGTGAGGTTATGAACACTGACAGAACAAAGACCATACATACGTGGCAGGCACAGCACCCTGTATGGTGCAAAACAGGGTCTCATATTTATGTATCTACTTATTTACATAGACATATAAACATATCTGTGTGTATTCTGTGACTATATAGACATCATATAGGGAATGATGGAAAAAGGAGCAGGTTTGGGAGAGAGCCTGGGAGATAATGAGTTTAAGACATGTTGAGCATGAGATTTCTTATAAGTCATCTAAGAATAAATTGATGGGACAAAGTTATTTTTATGGATAAGATATACATGAAAAGATTAACAGGTTGGAAATACAGATATTGTAGTTATCAGCGTGAAGAAGGAAGAAGGTGAAATTACATAGGGTGATTCTATGGAAGGAGAGAGGAAGAAATCCTGTGTTGGAGCTTTGATGACTATACATCATTCTTAGGGGAATTTGTCAGGCAGTAGTAGCTGCTTGTTTACTCAGAGAGTGAGGCCAGAAACTAAGAGAGAGAGTCCAAAGTGTTACAAAGCCCAGGAAGAGAGTGTCTCAAAAAGGAAGGATCAGTTAAAAATGTCAAGTGCTGATACAAGGGCATGCCCAGTGAGAATAAACACTCCATGAAATAAATGATTTGGAGTCCATCTGGTGACTTGGGGCAGAGCAGAAGTGAACAGGCAGGTACTAGATCAGATTAAGAATGGGAACGTAGTAAAGTGAGATAGCTGATGAGGTCACTTTGTCAAAGATGTCTGGAGGGAGGTTCATAGGATTAACTAGGTAAGGGATTTGACCCAGAAAGGGCATATATGTGTAGTTTGTTTTCAGATGGCTTGAACTTGTGCACGTATAAATTTTGATGGTAAAGAAACATAAAATGGGAGGGATTGAAGGTCTAAGAGAGAGTACAAGCAAGAGAGCAA